CATGCCATCACTGCTAAACAACTAATTCCCACAACGCTGTTTATGCCCTGGGATGTGAAACTACCTAGTAGGGCTGTTTACCTAGGTATTATCCTTCTCATCTTTTCATCTTTCCTATTACTTGCTTCCTTAGCTTCTTATGACTGTAACTTTGTTGTTCGTATCTCATGATCTATGTTGATTGCCTTTATTTAGTATCTTATTATGATTTGGGCTGTTTGCTTATTTAGTATCCCGTGACTGAGTTTTTTCTTATGATTCATGATTGTTGTATTTTATGATGAAGATCATGGTTTATCAGTTGTTGATTGTATTACACTGAGAGCTTATGCACCGGAGACAAATTCCTTGTGAATGTCCAATCACAATTGGCCAATAAAAAATTCTATTCTATTCTATTCTATTCTATTCTATTCTATTCTATTCTATTCTATTCTATTCTATTCTATTCCATTCCATTCCATTCCATTCCATATTTTCTATTCTATTCTATTCTATTCTATTCTATTCTATTCTATTCTATTCTATTCTATTCCATTCCATATTCTATTCTATTCTATTCTATTCTATTCTATTCTATTCTATTCTATTCTATTCTATTCTATTCTATTCTATTCTATTCTATTCTATTCCATTCCATTCCCACCCCACCCCACCCCTACAAAATGGATGGAAGATGTGGGTTGTATTTAGCATTTTCCAATTTCAACCAGTTTCAGTCAATTTCACCCAAGCGTTGCTGCTTGAAGAATTCTGGGAAATGAAATCCATAAATCTGGCAGGTGTCCATGTTGGCCAAGGCTGCTGCTTTGTTTTATGCCCATTAAACAGGTTTGTGGGCATGGTTAACAGTGACGAGAGAGGGTCAGTGAGCAAGGCACCTTCTGACCCTTTTCCACGCAACACACGTTTGAAAGGGGCAAAGTTTTGATTGGTTGCCCCTTCCATTTTGACCTGTTGCTGGCAGAAGACCCTGGTCCTCATATCACCTGCATATTGATCATATATATTGACAAATGATGATATATGTCATCTACGACAATGAGAACAATCAATCAGTGGATCAGCTTGCCTCCAGAAGTTGTGGGTGTTCCATCTCTGGATGTTTTCGAGAAAAGATTGAATAGCCACTTGTCTAAGATGATGTGTTGTAGGGTCTCCTGCTTGATCAGGGGGTTGAACTAGAAGACCTCCAAGATCCCTTCCAACTCTGGTATTCTATGTCCTGTATCTGCTGTGGAGCTGATGCCCATAGAGGTGGACACCATTCCTCAAAAAGAAGTTATCTACTGAATTCTCCTTTGACCTGCAACCGAATCCTTCATCCCAGTGGATGAAGCCTATGGCCTCTGACTATCCTCCTCCAGAGGACTTCTATCATTCAAGGATAAGCAGATTGCTACCCAGACACTATCAGCTGGGGATACCTGGTATGTGTAGGAATACATTGGAGTCTACATTATTTTGGAATTGATGTGACTTGTGGAACTCACCATGAAAGCAACTTGTATTGCTGCTAATGCTTTGTTTAACATCAACAGGTTTTTATTCACAATCCTCATGGACGTGGACAGCACACGAATGCAAACCGCTTAGCGCTAAGTAACCAGGATGCTGATATTTCTTTGCTGAACATCAATGAAGCTGTCAGTTGTTTGACTGCAGGGATGTTGAACCCTGATCTTGGCTGTGATTCCCTCCTAGTGGGCACACGGACCAGTTTGTTGGCATACGACGTACACAACAATGCTGATTTGTTTTATGCTGGGGTAAGTTCATCCCCCTCCCAGGATTACATGTCAATGGTGTTCGAATACACCGTTTGTATTCAGGAAAATTTTTCTGATAAACTTCGCAGAAAATGTGGAGGCTTCATAGACAAAATCCAAAGTGAAATGATACGGGTCCCAAGTTTTTAGGATGCATATTTTACGTCCCAAAAGGCATTCCAAATTACTTTGGTTGGAATCGGCGAAGTTAGAATTTGTTTTGGTCTTTTCAATACATAATTTAATAGTACACACCAGCTGGCTTTTAGCATCATGATTAGTGAACAACAACTTTAGATCAATGTGGAGTAAGTCCCCGGAAGACATTTTTCTGTTTTGTGATTTAGGCTTTGCCTTGCTCAAAGAGTCATTAAGCATTTGATCCAGGATTGTCTCTTCAAAGGGACAACTGTAATTTTCTATCCCCCTCTATGAAAGAAGCATTAATGATAGTTTTCTTCTTGTTGATTTCCTCTCCATGTGACAACGGCAAAATACCTTTGAGCATTTATTTTGGCCTGATTAAATGCCTTACCATCAGCCTTGCTAATAGGCAATTATCAAACTTTTTTACCAGTTTTGTAAGATGGTGAGGGTAGAAATGAAGGTCCAACTTTCCTAGTGTAGCCAATACACTCTCGTTATATTTTGGCTAAACCTAACACAGTGTAGCAAATGTATTTACTACACCACCTTATGTTTATTTTTAAAACCAATCTCTGAAGTGCTCTGCTCTAGAAATTGTGAGGGGAAACGTCTGAATGCTCCAATTTATCTCACATGTTTTCTGGGTATCTTTATTTGCAGGTGAAGAATTCATTGATTTCTCTGCTGTTTCCCCCTAGGTTCCCGATGGAGCAAACTCTATAGCCGTAGGAACGTTGGGAGACATTTCCTGCCCCTTAGCAATTATTGGCGGAAACTGTTCCCTGCAGGGCTTTAATTATGAAGGAAAAGATCTGTTCTGGACGGTGAGTGTGCCTATATTATAGGGTGCTTTGGGTGCCTATAGCTTTATTTATCTTCATAACAAAAGCTATTATTATTATTTCAGTTTTTATAAAGGGAGCCCACCGATCCTTTCAAGATTACACGTGGAGCGTTGAGGCTAAAGTAACTTGCCGAGGCTTACGGGATTTGATAGCAAGGAGGAGGGGAGGGTGGCATTGAGAGCTCAACCAAAGAACCTCTCCCACCAACACTGTCAGTGAAAGACACTAGAAAATGAAGTGAGAGCAAACCTCACTCCCTACTAGCACTGATGATGTTACCTAGTTGGGTAATGAAACGTCTGCAAGAAAACCCCCAAGCTCGGAGAGCACCAAGGGCCCCACAGTCCTTTTACTTCCTCCTCCCCCTCCCCCCCTCCTCCTCCTCTTCCTCTCTGCAAACCCCACTCCTTACTAGCACTGATGATGNGTTGAAACTAAGAAATACTTTTTTAAAAATACAATTACAGGTCACAGGTGACAATGTTCGCGCTCTCGCCTTCTGTGACTTTGACGGTGACGGGAAAAAAGAGGTAGGTTTTTGGCAAGCGGTAAGTGCATGAACTTACATTTCCATTGTACGACAGGTAGTCCTCAACTTACGCCCACAATTGAGCCCAAGATTTCTGTTGCTAAGTAAGACCTTTGTTAAGTGAATCTGGCTTCCCCCATTGACTTTCCTTTGTCAGAAGGTCGCAAAAAGTGATCATGTGATGCCAGGATACGGCAATCGTCATAGGAGTCAAGAGCCAAGCGTCTAAATTTTGATCACGTGACTTTGTGGCTGTTGCAACAAGACATAACTCTGCAAAATGGTCATAAGTTACCTTTCTCAGTGCCGTCGGAACTTTGAACGGTCACTAAACACACCGTAAGTTGAGGACTACTTATAGTTCGTATTGCACTTGTTGCATTTTAGACATTTGAGGGATTACCGTACTGAGGGAACGGTTTGGGGTTGAAGACGGGCACCCATCTTGGAGCAGATGAGTTTTTGAAAAATATCTCGACTAATGCTTTTATGTTTTCAATGGAAGAAAATACCCAAGTCGCTAGTCATTAGGAAAAGAACCCACAAGGTCTCGTAAGTTCAGTCCAAGCACACAGCTTCGTTGGTTGCAGCACGTGCATTAAATCCCTCCTTTCTTTTCAGACTCGGAGCCAATTCTCCGCTTTCCCTTTCATGTACGTCCCGTGTCTGGCTACTTGGGATGACATGTCCTAAGGGCTTTCCCAGCCCAGCCTCCTCCCAAAGCAGGAATGCAAGACGATTTGCTGGAAGGAAGGAGGGTCATGCGTGTAAGGACGAAGTACTGCTCTCGTGTGCCCCTGGGCGAGGGGAGTCGGTCCTTTTTAATCCGTATTTTGCGTGCCCTAAGTCGGTGTTTCTCAACCACAAGACGCGTGGACTTGATCTCCGCGAATTCCCCAGCTAGCATGCTGGCTAGGGAATTCTGAGAATTTGAAGTCCACGGATCTTTAAATTGCCAGGGTTGAGAAACACTGCCCTGAGTTATATTTGCTCTTGGGATGTGCAGCTTAGTGGTTGAAGCTGAAGTTTGATCTAGGATCTATTTCAGCAATAGATCCTAGATCAGGAGATCTTGAAGGAGAGGGCAGCCAAGACAGTTTTTCCTGGCTCCCTGCCTACATCATAAACCGGACCGTTCACCTAATCAGGAGATAACTTGACCTTACCTGCAGCATTTTCTATAATATATTTTAGTGTGTTGTATTGAAGCTCCGTGTTAGGCAGCCTTCCCGTGCTGGTGCTCTCAAATGTATTTTTTTTGGCTTCAGCTGCTATCATTCCCGACCATAAATCATCAGGATGTCTAGAAATCAACAAGCCAGATCACGTTAAGGTTTCTCCTGTTTTGGCAGCTGGAAGAGCAAATTAATGAAAATAAAATGTGGTCTGTTAAATGCTTGATGGTTTCTCTCTCTCTCTTTCTTTCTCTCTCTCTCCCCCCCCAAAATTAGCTTATTGTTGGATCTGAGGACTTTGATATTAGGGTTTTTAAAGAAGATGAGATTGTGGCGGAAATGTCTGAGACTGAGGTAAGGGGGGAGAAATTACCTTTGTGTGGTTATTCAGTTTGGTGTGGGGATTCAGTTTAGACAGAACGATTGGAGAAGTTCTGACATTTTGGAATCTTTTTGACCGTGCAGCAGTCTTCAAATAGATGAAAACGGCATTTTATCACTCAGCATATTCAAAAGTTTTCCTCTAGGCCTGCTTTGCTGTTCTCTTTTTTTTCCCCCTGGTAGCTGAGCTCCTTTTTGACAGGTTAATGGAAATCAGACCTGAATCAAATAATTTCATTCAATACCAAATGAAAGACGTGGGAAAGTAGATTTAGGAGAAAGAGATAATAATGGTAGCAGTAATTTTTTTATTATTATTATACATTGGAGTGCAGCGATGTTGCCTTTTCCAGTCTGTTAAGGCTCATTCAAAAGAGAATACAGGTAATCCTCAATTTACAACGCTTCGTTTAGTGACGGTTCCAAGTTACAACGGCACTGGGGGGAAAAAAAGACTTATGACCGTTTTTCACACGACGGTTGCAGCTTCCCCATAGTCATGTGATCAAAATTGGCAACTGACTCATATTTATGACGGTTGCAGCATCCCAGGGTCCTGCCCCCCCCCCTCCTGCCATCTCTTGCCAAACAGCATTCTTAGCATCTGCAACCGAAAACATCTTGGCGACCAGAAGTTGGAGAATAAACAGAGTTTAATATTTTGGGGGTTGTGGGCTACGCTTACCTTTGCCCCGAAGAAATTACCCCTCTTCTGGGCTGCCCCTTCTCAGCTGCTCTCCGTTGCCCTGGTTTTAGCATGGCAACTTCAAGCCAATTTGAAATGTGGAAGAAAAACTTCGGCTGCTTCCCGACTAAGGGCTTTTAGTGCTAACAGAAATGATTAGGGAATATTCTTACTTCTCCATCCACCTATCCCCCTCTTTCCATGGAGTTTTGACAGTAAGAACAAACAGGGAAGAAGGCAGTGTGGTGGTGGTGGTGGTGGGGAAACCTTGGTGCATAACAGATGTAAATCATGACATCTGGAGCCCTTGTAAAGTTTTGCGAATGAGGTCAAGTGAATAAAATATTAAATAAAATAAATCACAACAAAACCTCTCGGAGCCTTCCGCATCACAGCTGGATACAGCACCAGCCAAATCTTCGGTGCAGGTGTGGGTACTGGGAAGGTGAATATCACTGAGACTGGGATCATGCCAAACCACTCTAAATTTAATGGGCCCGAATACTGTAACTGCCAGTATTGCTCTGATTTAGCTGAAGGCAGTTTTTATTCCGTAGAAATAGTTGGCTTCATTATTTAGTTTAACAACAAGCTGTTAAACCTTCCTTTCTTCCTTTTCTAGATCGTCACGGCCCTAACCGCGATGAGCCCCGCTCGCTTCGGCTATGCGCTGGCTAATGGCACGGTGGGCATTTACAACCAGGCCGCGCGCTACTGGAGAATTAAAGTTAGTATGATCAAATTGGAGACGTCAGAACAGCTGGAATATCCAGCACTGAAAAATGTACGTTTGACTTCGCTGGGAGTCTGCAGAGGAAGTCAAAAAGGTCCAGATGGCAGCCACTAGGCGTGGAATTTTGATGCCTTTTGATGTGCATCCAGGGCTTTCATCCTGTGGTTATAGTTGCCATCTTCTTTTTGCCACAATATGGACGATCTTCTCCCTCTTCCTCCTCTTCCATTCAGTTTGGACACTGTCCAGTTCTGATGGGGTGATGGAAACAAACGCAGGGACCTAGAACGTGCGAGCTAGAAAGGATGTTTTAGTTCATCTGTCACAACATCTTATTCAAAGTTAACATTAATCAGGTGTTGCATGTCATGCAGATGTAGCCCCACACTCTTTAGCTGGCTTGGTTTTAAGTCTGTTGTGCCGACCTGTCAGGTTCAAATGACCACTTTTGAACGCTGATTTCAAGGCACTGCAAGGGTCAAGCGCAGGAAATCAGGAGTCCAGGCAGTTCAAACGAATACATAGGTTGTATTGTACAAAAAATCTGAACTGCTAACGGTCAAAACAAATTGGTGGTACATAAGAGTCAGTGGAATTCAAGGAAGGCTGGACTGAGAGCTCTTGTGTCTGATGATGCGTTTGACCTCAGGCTCAGCCTGGTCATCTCCTACAGAAAGGCTTATTAATGCTACCTATACCCAAGAATCTGGTCAATTAATGGTCAAAGCTAAATTGGTGCTAGATAAGGGTCATTGGAATTCATGGGTGTGTGTGTGTGCTGGACCTGGGTCTCTTGTGGGAATGCAATGACTCCATACATGTTTGACCTCACCTTCAGGCTCAATCACCCTAGCCATAGTCCTGCTGTAGGTGGGGGCAATATGCTGACTCTGTAAACCGCTTAGAGAGGGCTGTAAAGCACTGTGAAGCGGTATCTAAGTCTTAAGTGCTATTGCTATTCTAAACTTGGTTTGTTGAGAATTTCGCATTCTTGACCGATACGTAACCGGTAGCTATAAACAAGTTGAAGATCGAACTCCAGTGGTATATATCACTTTGAGGCAAAAACTTCATCTATTCAGGGAAAATAATAGCCACCTTTTCATATTTTTCCTAGTGTTCAAAGTCCTTGATTCCTGTTGCAACTGTGTAGGATAGTTACTCTTACAAGGAGAGGAACCCTTGCTTAGAGTTAAGACTGAATCCAGAGTCAGGACAGTGTCTTACCTTGATTAGTTTCCTGCATCAGTATCTCTCCACTAGATGTGTGAAAATGTTAGGGTTAATACCAAGAAGTATTAACGCAGCAGACCACAATCTTTTGGGCACCAGGGACCGGTTCGGGGCTTTGCTTGTTTGCGGCCCAGTTTCTGGCAGGCTGTGGCCCGGTGCCGGTCCACGGACCAGGGGTTGGGGACCCCTGTATTGCTGATAGGATTGATTGGAAGAAGCTGGCTGCCCTAGGCACTTCGCGCGAAAGGGACCAGTAATGGTGATGATACCAAGAAGTGACCTGCTTGCTTCCCATTTGTCTCCCCAGTCTAAAAATCAGGCGATGTGCATCAGTGCCTTTGACATTAATTCCGACGGCGTCTGCGAATTGATAACTGGCTGGTCCAGCGGGAAGGTAAGTATAAAGAAGATTGTATATTTAACCTTCGTCCCTGCTTCTTTCCTAAAGATTAAACGGCTGGCCTGGTTTAGAATTCTACCGGCGTTGCAGAATATATCAGTGGCTGCCACCAGAACAGTGGACCGTATTAGAGCAGATATGAAGAGGCAATGTTTAGTTTAGCTGTTTTCTTGAAAATTGTTTTGCCCCTTTTCAGGGTGCGTGCGCTGCAGATCGTGGAGTAACTGCAACGGAACTAAATGTACAGAAAGCAAAAGAAAGATTAGGCTGTTGAACCAGGGGTTGTTCTGGATTTCTAACATCTCGGGTTGACTGAGACGTTTTACAGAAAATGTATATTTTTTTATTTTTATTTTTTTAAATTGATCTGTGGTCTTTCCCACTTTTAATGCTGTCTGGGGAATGTCTGCGTTGCAGATCGACGCACGCAGCGATCGAACCGGAGAAGTCATTTTCAAGGACAACTTTGCTTCTTCCATTGCGGGAATTGTGCAGGGAGATTACAGGATGGATGGGAGTACACAGCTGATCTGCTGCTCAGTTGACGGTGAAGGTAAATTCCTTTGCAATTTCAAGGCTTATTTCATTTACAAGGAGTGGGAACAATGCTAGTGGCTATACTAAAGCAGAAATGCCCTGCTGCCCCAAGAACAATCCGGATCTTTCAAGCCCTGGCTAAGAGCAGCATGTGGGGTGTGTGTGTGTGTGTGTGTGTGTGTGTGTGTGAGAGAGAGAGAGAGAGAGAGAGAGAGAGAGAGAGAGAGAGAGAGAGAAATGATTTCACTCAGATCTAAATTCAGATAATATTGTCCCTCCCAACGTGCTGAAGTTGGCAAGCGTTTCAAATAAGACACCTTACCAAGTTGAGGGTACAGGTAGTCCTTGACTTATGACCACAATTGAGCCAAAATCTATGTTGCTAAGAGAGACATTTACCAAGTGAGTTTTACCCCATTTTACGACCTTGCTTGCTCCAGTTGTTAGGTGACTCACTGCCCTTGTCATAAATACATGCCAGATGCCAAGCGTCTGAATTTCGATCGTGTGATCATGGGGCGACCCCAACAATCGTTAAGTGTGAAAAATGGTCACCAGTCACTCTTTCAGCGCTGTTGTAACTTCGAACTAAGCGAGTGATTGTAAGTTGAGGACTACCTATAACTGATTTGGATTTTGTCTTTTAATTGGGATCTTTCTGTTGCTCTGTGTGTGTTGGTGCGCACGATTGTTTATTGTACGTTAGTAGAGTTTTTGTGGCGTTTCAGCAGGATGAATAAGAAGCTGGAAGTCAAACTGTAGAGATGCCCTTTTAATCTCATAAAGCCAACCTTTTCCTTTTGTTGGTTTGGATTGGACAGGTTTATCCTACAAACCTTTATTATCCTGTGTTTAGGCCGGACTAAATACGGTACATTTATTCTCCCTGATTTATGAACCACTGTTGCGCAATGACAACTTTTCTCCATCAAGAACTTCAAGAGGAAGATGAGTACGTTTCTTGACTTTGTTTTCACACAGTGCGAGGATACCTGCCAGGGGGTCAGGAGGTGAAAGGAAGACTGATGGACACCAGCGTGGAGCAAGATCTGATTCGAGGGCTTAGTCAGAAGAAGCAAAACCTGATCCTTGAGCTACGAAACTATGAAGAAAATTCAAAGGTAATTTATGTAAAGATGGAAAATCCAGACTCGGTCTTGACCGTTAGGACCTGATTTTATGTATTTCTATACTTTCTCCAACGTTTTGAATAAGGCCTACCTGTTGTTTTAAAGCAGGTGGAACTGAACACTCAGGTAAATGAAATGGATGGCCAAAGGGGTGTGATCCCGGCAAACACACAGCTCCAGACTGCGTTGTCCGTCAATCTGGGATCGGAAACTGAATCCGCTCATGTAGAACTCTGCATATCCACATCCAATGGTAAATCAAGATTAGCAGCCAAAGTTTGTTGGTACAGGCTCAGTATGTATAATTTCTTAGCTGGGAGCACCTGAGGAAGATGCTTCTTCGATCTGACTTGGGCATTTGCCTCTTTCACTGATCTTAAGAATCTGAGCATCCCACTGGGGCAGAGGAGTACACCTATTATGGGCTTGTCATGTATGAAGAATGGAATGGACTAGACTAGACTAGATTAGACTAGAAAATGTAATGTAATGGAACGGAACAGAATAGAATAGAATATGGAGTGGAAAGGAATGGAATGGAATAGAATAGAATGGACACTGGACTGAACTAGACTACGGAATGGAATGGAATGGAATGGAATAGAATAGAATAGAACTGGAAGGGACCTTGGAGGTCTTCTAGTCCAGCCCCCTGCTCAAGCAGGAGAACCTACACCATTTCAGATAAGTGTCTGTCTAGTCTCTTCTTAAAAAAAACCTCCAGTGATGGAGCAGCCGTGATTTCTGAAAGCAAGCTGTTCCACTGGTTAATAGTCGACGCTTAAAACTTAAGGGACAGCATCTAAAGGCAGGAGATTAACCTGAGCAGATCCATGGGGTCTGAGACCCTGGAAAGTGTGGAGAGAAGAGCAACAAAAGATAATAAAGGGTTTGGAGGCTAAATTACATGAAGAAGAACGGTTTGGGGAACTGATATGTCTAGCTAGCCTATTGAAGAGAAGGATTAGGGGGGACACGATAGCAGACTTCCAGGACTTGAGAGTCTGTCACAGAGAAGAGGGGATTGACTTATTCTCCAAAGCATCTGAGCGCAGGACAAGAAGTAATGGGTGTAAGTTCATCAAGAAGAGATCCAGCTTAGAACTAAGGTGGAATTTCCTGACAATGAGAAGGATTAATCAATGGAACGGCTTGCCTTCAGGAGTTGTGAGTGTTCCATCACTGGAGGTTTTCAAGAACAGACTGAACAACCATTTGACCTGGATGGTATAAGGTTTCCTTCCTTGAGCAGAGGGGTGGGACTAGAAGATCTCTAAGGTCCCTTCCAGCCCTATGATTCTGTGTTGTATGTTCATAGTAAACTTGAGGCTACAAGTGACAGGTCTGATTGATTGCTTTTGGTGATGGCAGCGGCAATGATCTTGACTTCTTTTCTGCCCTGTCTGCCGTCCTGGAGAGCATTTTTTAAATCGAATAAATATCTTAGTATTCTTTAACCTTATTGTATGAATGGATAGCTTTGGATAGATTAAAATTATTTTGTAATTATTCCTGGGTTTAGCTCTGGGAAGTCCGGGGGGGGGGG